ATATCGCCTCCGAGTTGTTCACAGATATACTGCAAGTCATCGACAGATTGCATACCCGGGCGCCCCCTATAGTGCACCGCAATATAAACCCGCAGAATATTCTCGTTAAATACGATGAGAGCACCGGTAGTTTTGTGAAGTTAGGTGGGTTTGGTCTGGCGGTTGAGCACCGGGATGTCGATGACACGCATACCCAGTGCGCGGGTGTCGACGCATATATGGCCCCTGAGGTGAAAAGGGGTCGGCGTTATAACCAGAAGTGCGATATGTATAGTCTGGGCGTTTTGGCTCAGGATCTGTTTAATGTAGATGTCAACCAAGTCTAGTGAGTACAGTATTATAACTGATTTTTAAAATATTCTTAAATTTAAAAAATTTAATTTTATTGTATGCAAGTTCAATTATAATTTAGTTATTACTAATTTTAAAATTATAATTATTATTTAGAACGTATTTCCATTAAAAAATATAATAAAACTTATTACAATATTATGTCGATCTTATTCCAGATAATTTATAATTTTATTTGTTTTTAATCATTAAACATAAATTTTAATTTTAATTACTGTTTTTACAGATTGTATAATATAAATATATTTTATTTGTATACTATGCAAAGTATTATTGTATAATATACTATACTATACTTTATTTTCTATTAAAATAAAAATAATTATTTAATTTCACAGCGAAACTGACGACAAATTGAACGCAAACTACGAGAAAATCCGGAAACTGGTGTTACGTCTACTAAATAACGTGAGTTTCGGTCGACCCTCGGCTCACGACCTACTCGTCAGGCGCCAGGAGTGGGCCCTCCCTTACGGTGCCGTTCGCTCCGATATTACGCATACAATGGACGCAAACATTACATACGATATAAACACACAATTTGTTGATTACTTATTGCAAAACAAATTCAAAATTAATTACAAATAAATTTATATATCATATTCTAAAATCATACTAAATTCGCCTTGATAATATAATTGTTTTTGTTATAAACGAATTTATACTAGTTTATTAATTATTTTTTGCTATTAATAAATTTGTTAAACTTTATTTAATTTAATGAAATAAAGAGGTTAATTTACAAAATTCAATTTTGAATAATATTGGTTTTTATCTAGTTTTAAATTTATTTTAACTTTCATTTAAGGTTACGAGTTCCTAACTTATTATTTTATAATAATTAAATTAATAGGTTTATTGAAATAAATAGTCTTGAACTTATATTTAATAAATCATCACATTACTTTATATAAACTACTTAATTAATATAATTAATTGTATTTAAACCATATTTAATATTAATGATACAATTAATTTAAATTGTAAGTAAGGCGTCATTCACAAAGTACATACGCAAAATTTTGGTCAAAAATTGACCCCCCCTCCCCCCTACACGCCCATCGTACATAGGAGTTTAACATGGGACATACGCTTTGGCATGACCCCCCTGCCCCCTAGGCGTGCGTATGTACTTTGTGAATCACGCCTAAACTGATTAACATTTATATAAACTCTACAACTTTTCATTTTAACGGGTGTGACTAAAAAACCCACAAACCCCCAAAATAAAAAACCCACACAGTAATAATCCAACAAATTAAAAACCCACCCTCACAAAAAAACCCACACAAATCTTTCTATCATTTATTAATAATGTATAGTTAAAAAATAATTATAATAAAGAATGGAATTAATTGTTATAACAAGCACCTTTTAATCATTTAAACTTTCCTTATTTTTTACTATTTTTACTACTTTTCAGATCAAAGCGAAGTTAACCAACAAATACAAGCCTTCAATGTATTGACTCAATTGGACCCACAATTCACGCGACAATTGCTGTCCAATTGGCTCGAGTACAGCAGCATTGGTGACGACATACCGGTGCTCATGCTATACAGTGTATAATATACACACAATCTGAACGGCATCTCACATGTCAGGCCTACCATCGATCAGCTACTGGAAACCTCATGGGAATAGGCCTTACCTTACGATGCAAAACGGGACGAGATCTGTGAGCACCGGGATATAATCAGTCATCAATTATTGAACACTTTATGCAAACAAAATACGCTATGAATGAGGAAATTCTTGCAATTATATTGAAATTAATAAATACAATACTAATTTTAACGAGGTGAGACAATTATGAACTAAATATTTTTTATTTATATATAAAGTGCTGCATAAATCATATCAAATATCTAGCTCAATTAAGTGGATTAAAATTCTAGGTAAATATAAATTAACGAACTTAAATGTTCAATACCGAATTTTAAATTAAAACAAAACTAATTTAACTTATTAAAATTGAATATTTTTAGTTATAACAAAAATTATTTAATTTTATTAAAGAGCATAAATTACTAGTCTACTTAAACCAGAGACCTCAAAATGTATAAAAAACAAAAAATTTGTTGCAAATAATTTATTTATTTCATATAGATTATCAGTAGATAAAGCACTTTACAAACACAAATATCATTATTATTTTCACTGTATTTATAGTCACCTGTAAATGTGAATATTTTGAAATTTCTATATTGCTAAAAAGCATATAATCAGAGTATAAGAAATAATAACGAACTCAACTTATTGAATCTAATCAGAGTTACATTTCTGCGAGCTTTTGTTTGTTAATAAATATTTAGACAATAATTTATATAAAAATAATGAACAAAAAATCTTTTATAAAATGATAACATTTTTAGTACACAATAGTCACCACAGAAACCATAACAACAATCATAACGTTTGACAACACATTAGCTATGGGGGCAGCGCCGGGACACACGTCGCCATTATTGGGGTCCGGTTTGCGGTCACCACTGCACACACACTTCCCGGCACTACACCGGCGCCACATATCCCACGACTTGACACACGTGGGGCCCTCCGCGTGGCACTCGTACGGCACACACTTACCCGCCTCCGGGTAGTAATTAGCGGCGCACCGGCACTTACTGGCCGCACACACCTGGTTTTCGGCGGTACAATCGGCGCGAGATTTGCACGTTTTAGGGTCAGCCCACTGACATATACCGCCCAGTGTAGGGTCGGGTGCGTTGTAGTAGTCGTCGCATAGGCACTTCCCAATTGACCTGTAACAACTACGATACAGGTATTCACAGTCTTTGTCGCTGGAGCACGTGGTTGGTATACACTTCTTGGTCCCCTCGTCCCATTTATAGTTAGGCTCGCATTTGCACTTCATGTCGCGACAAGTTACACCGCTCACATAGCCGTGACATTCATTATCAAAACAAATGCTACCGGAGCCACTAAATATACAGTTAGCTCCCTGGCATACCGTATTGGCGTTTTCGCTCAGGCATTCAGCGTCGCCAGTACACGATTGACCGATTGATTTGGTCAAGGTGATATTATTATTATAGTGTATGATATTATTAGTGTTGGTTGTCAATATATTACTCTCCCCACAAGCCACCAGTATATTAATAGTTATTGTTACTAGAATAATGTGTATGTTGTACATTTTTATTTAATTAAAAATACTGAATCAATATTAAATATTTTATATTGCATAGCGGACTATTAGTTCAATTGTATTTATATAAAAAATATTTTATAGTAATATTTCGTTTAACGCATTTAATTCAATGACGTTAAAAAGATAATTGCCTAGGTAATTATTCATATTATTTTTATATAACATTCCTACTGCGATTCAATGTATTACAGATATATTGGTAATAATGTCAAGTTTTTATATGTATGTCAATCTATCAAATACCTTCTACAATGTATTAAATGACTAATACTTACAATTGATATTAATACAAGTGTGATAATTGTCCAGGTAAAATATGTACTATGGACTACCATATAATTGTACTCATGGGTAAAATTATTTCACAAATATTGTGTAAAATGTTACTCATCTACTATTACTGTTAAACATTTAATAATTTCCCAAAATCATTATTATTACACATAAATTATAATCTTGATTAAATGCCCCGTAATTAAATGAGAAAATGCATTATATTATTTTATGGACTAATATACTAAACATTAGAGTTTGCAAGTTTTAATCAAAATTGTTCAATATTTAAAATTGACCTAATAAAATAATTTTTCAATTATTAAAAATACAAAATATAATTATGAATTTACAAAATTATAGTGGAAACCTATATAATATAAGTGCGAGTGATCAATATACATATTATACATAAAGTTTGTAATTAAATTATTTGGTCATACAAGTTAATTTTAAAGCATTTTCACTATACAAACTGTAAATATTTTTCATTCAAATTATAACTTTAAACACGTTTTTGTAATCTATATTTTGATTTTTTTGATACAACTTTCAAACTATAAATTACACTATGTAATATAATTTTATGTAATTATTAATTTTATTTACATAACCATAAACAATCATTTACTACTAATTTATAGTTTATAGGTAAACATCTATTGAACACAAAGCGATTGGATGACAAGTGTTTGGGCGCCGGCCTATCGGGACCTGTAGTGCGGGGTATAGACGATAGGTATGGCCGGGAATACGGTACGCGTCTAAAATGCATTACATTGTCGGTATGTATCTGTAAAGTCTATAAAATGATATTTATTTCAAAACTAATATAAAATCACATTTAAAATAATTTTATTTAATATCACTTTTAAACTGTAATTTTATAAAAATTTATGACTTAGTTATAAATTTATGTATAAGCTTATTATTCGCCTCACCGGATTTTCCTATTTATTTATACACTAGATCTTATTTTTAAAATATTTTAAAACAATTTATCTATCATTTAAGTAAAGATTATACGTTGTATATTTATTTAAGTTTTTAAGCGCATGGATCTAATATTACTTTCATTTAATAAAGAATTAACATGAGAGATTATGATTTTTATATAAATGCAAACTGTTGATTTAAATTCAAAATATTAGTTATATACGTAAAGGATTTATTTTAAATAATTATTTGTTATTGGTTGAAGTTTTCATATTTATAATTTTTATAATTTATTTAATAATACACATTAATTTTTAAAATTTATAATATTTCATAATTCAAATTATATTGTCTTTGGAGCTAAAACTAATATTTAATGCAATTAAAAATTATTAAGATTTGAACTATTTTTAGACTGTAATATTAATATCTAAATTTATTTAAATTTTTATGAAATTTAATTTAATTAATTGTTGGTACCAATAAGTATGGCTGTTTTAATTACATTTATATTTTAAAGAGAATTTGAACTAGACCTATTATTTCTTAATATAGATATGAGTCGCTAAAAGCTTAAAGGTTCTTCTGTATTATAGTTCAGACTGTAATCAATGCTGTATTGGGTTTAATGTTATATTAATACTTTATTTCATTTCAACATTAAACCCAATACAGCACTGATTACAGTCTGAACTGTAATACAGAAGAACCTTTCAGCTCTTGGCGACTCATATAGTGTGCTATTTATAATTAAAATGACTTTTATTTATTCTACCTAATACAAATAGAAATGTTTTCTAAATTAATCAAAATATATATTACCATGACCAAACTGTAACAGTAATATTTGAAAGTACTTCATAAAAGTAAATTAAATATATAAAACAACATTGGTTAATCTTATACTTTATAAATAAATAAAATTACCGCAAATATACACTAAATTGAACTAATAATGTTTAAAAAATTATTTTAAAGAGGACACGTGGGACGGCCTACTCGGGGAATTCCATCGCCGGCACCGACAGCTAACCCACACCGACGGGTGCCTCCAATACTACGACTCGTGGGTGGAAAGGGATGAACCAAATCATCAACTATTCACGCGATACCTAAACGCTGTCCGACCGGACATCCGATTAGTCTACAATTTTTGTACAAAAACTTTGCATTTATTTAATTATTTATTTTGATATTCTTTTGATATAACATTTTAAATTGTAATGTATGAAATATTTGAGTAAGTACCTGTATAATTTATTTATTAATAAATTTTTAATTATAATTTATAATTCAAAAATATTTATGAAAATAAACTCCAGGGCCACTTCTTTTCCAAATAACTTAACATTTTATTTGTTTATATAATTAGACATAAATTGAAAATTTTAATTACTGTTTGTCCAGATCGTATAATACAAAACAAGCATTAAATATATTGTACCTGTATACATAATATTACACCGTATTTGTATCAATCATGCACAGACAGGTGTTAGAGCAGGGTCAACTTATTAGTAATATAAATGCGTTTATTTAATAACACCTTAAGTGGAGTTCATTTAAAACCTGTAAATTAAAAAATATGAGCATTTAGTACATTACTCATTATGAGTATTGAAATGATTCAAGTACATTACTATTCAATTTAATTTCTATTATAAAATATAGGGCACACCGGGCACACTGGGCACACTGGGCACATTAGGGTACACTGGACATACTAGGGCACACTTGGGTTATTGTAATAAATTAAATCTAAAAATGTTTAGTATTGTTTAGTGTTTAAGAAATTATAATAATGATTTATTATTTTTAATCATGTACATATTTTTTGTAGTAAAATTTTACATTTATTTAATTATGCTACTTGTGAAATGTTACTTGGTGATCATGAAATATAAAGTAATAAAATCTAATTATATTTATAATAACTGATATTTTGTTATATTTTATTTTTAGTTTTTATATATAGTTTTAATAGTTATTTTGAAATATGAATTAAAAGAAAATCTATGAAACAAATTTTTTTAACAAAAATATATACATGGTTAAAAAATAATAAACCATTATTATAATTTCTTAAGCACTAAAAAATTTCACTACACAAAACTAAACATTTTTAGATTTAATTTATAACAATATCCCAAGTGTGTCCTTTATGTGCAGTGTGCCTAGTGTGCCTGGTGTGCCAAAAAGTCAGTACCCATATCAGTTATACTTTCATATAAACTCATGGAGAATAGCACCTGAATCATTTTCTATTTAAAACCTCTAAACCCATCAGTCAATGATTTA